CCTCTATGCTCTTCCCCCTTTTAGGAACCCTTGAAACTCCATTTTTGAAAAAAAAATGAAAACATTTATTTATTTGACAGATAGAGGGATCACAAGTACATAGAGAGGGGGAAGCAGGCTCCCTGCTGAGCAGAGCCGGATGTGGGGCTCAATCCCAGGACCCTGGGATCATGACCTGAGCTGAAGGCAAAAGCTTTAACCCACTGAGCCACCCAGGTTCCCCCCTTTGAAATTCTTCATCATAATTCAGTCCTGGAATTGTGAGTGGAGCATACATTGTCGATGTAGGACATCAGTGGCACATTTGTGAAAAGTAGAAACTCAGACCCCATCCAAACATCCAAATCAGAATATGACTTTTAATATCTTCAGTTCATTGTCATACCCATTAACACTGGAGAAGGACACATCTAGCTCACCTACACTCTTCCATTATTCTGCTGTTCTACTCTATTTGATAACTGTGTCTTGTATGCCTTAAATCAGGATATGTGCTCTTCATTTCCCAGATTATTTAGGGTATGGGTTATCCCATGACATATACATGAAGTTAGGGTGGAGTTTGATCTTTGTGCAAAAATAGCATTGGAGTTTTGGTAGAGATTGCATTTTCTGTAGATCACATCAAGATTTATTATGTTTCAAGTATTCCAGTGAAGGAACATAGATTTGTTTTCAATTTATTCATTCCTTGATTCCTACACAGTACATTACATGTTCCATAATTTCTGGTTTGACCTCTACCATTATGTTAAATTGGAAGCATTTTTATTGTGTGGGGGGGTGTTTGTTCTAAAAGTTTGATGTCTCTGTTTGGGGAATTGTTCTTTGTTGTGTAGAAACAAAACTAATTTTTATGTGTTGGTTTGTGTACCAGCTTTATAAAATCCGTATGAGTTTTAACAGGATTAAAACAATAAGGTTTCCCAGGAGAAGAAATGGCAGTGGAGTAGGAGGATCCTAGACTCATGTGTCCTGTCATGAGCACCACTAGGCAACTGTCAGGTCATCCTAAATGCCCCAGACATTGGGCTGAAGAGTGACAGGACAAACTACCCAAGTAAGAGGAGAGAAGAGGCCACATGGAACATGGCAGATAGTGTGCAGACATGGTTTAGGGAGGAGAGGAGTATAGCATTGTGGAGGTCAGGGAGCCCCGGTTGTGCAGTAGGTGTCATGACAGAGGAGCACTCGGGATGCCTAAGGAGGTTTCCCCAAAGCCATTGGCTTGGAAGGGGAGAAGGACTGAATTTCATGAGTTCTTTGTATTAGTATGTCTTAAAGCCTGGAGTTTAATGGTCAGTAGGTTTGGATGGGATGGAACCAGGAGGGCACTGGGGTGCTCCTGCAGAGAATGCTGGCAAACAACCCGGGGGCTCACAGCGTGGTAACAGCCATCTGAAGAACACCTGGGGTGCACAGTGGGTAGAGTATTCAGTAGTCTAGGAGCACATTCCTGAGAGGAAACATTCAGTGACATGTGGCTCCAAGAACAGGGGAGTTGGATGGTACCATTTCCCTCTCCCATCCTGTAGCACAAAGACAGAGCCCCACTCAGTGAGGACACTGGCTGGCTGCTTTGTTTGTATCAGGCCCCACCCCCCTGTGATCTGAGGGGACCGCCCTTCTCAGTGAGGCTTGTCTCAGGCTTAGCAAGGTGAGCCCCTGCCCACATCTTGTCTCCTGAGAAGAGATTTTGTAGGGCCGCAGTCCTGGGGGAGTTGATGTCAGGTCTCCTTTCATGAGCAGACCAGTGCTCACCTAGTTCAAACTGGCCACATTCAGGCCAGCAACCAAGCAGGCAAGGAGAGCCCCTGCAGACCCCTGGCAGGAAGGATACAGCAGGAAACATCACTGGCTTTTCTGTCACAGAGAGGAAGGTAAAGACTTAGACAAAATGCCAAGATGAAAGAATTTATCCAAACAAAATCAGCAGATGAGACCAGGGCCAGAGATGCAATGGAAACAGATTGTAGTAAGGAGCTTGATGGACAATTGAAGGCCTCAATCACAAGGATACTGAAAGGGTTGAGAAAAGAATAGTGTGAACTTTACCACAGGGGTAAGAGTTAAAAAATAATTGGGTGCGGGGCGCCTGGGTGGCTCATGGGTTAAGCCTCTGCCTTTGGCTCAGATCGTGATCTCTGGGTCCTGGGGTTTAGTCCCACATTGGGCGCTCTGCTCAGCAGGGGGCCTACTTCTGCCTCTCCCTCTGCCTGCCTCTCTGCCTACTTGTGATCTCTGTCAAATAAATAAATAAAATTTAAAAAAATAAGAATAAAATAAAAAAAAAATTGAGTGCTTGGTGGCTAATTTGGGTAAGCCACTGATTGTGATTTCTGCTCAGGTCTTGATACCAGGCTCCTGGGATCCAGGCTCAAATCAGCCTCTGAAGTTAGTGTGATACCTGCATGGGATTTCCTCTCTCTGCAATTCCCACCCGAACCCTTAAGATTCCCCCCACCCCAAATATATATGTCTTTCTAAAAATCAAACATAGGTGAACAATGCAGTAAGGAAGATTAGAAACAGGCTTGATGTTAAGAGGAGGCTGGAAGAAGCAGAAGAATGACTTTGTCATATAGAAGAAAAAATAAAGGAAAATACTGAATCTGAACAAAAGGAGGAAGAAGAATCCTGCAACACAGGATTTATTTAGGGAACTCATAGCCTCCATCAAAAGTGGTAAGATTCCCAGATCTTGGGCTTTTCTGTGCTGGGAGAGTATTGCTTCCAAATTCAACCCTCATGCTTCTTACTGGTCTAAAGAGATTCCCATTTTTTTGGTTCAAGGTTAGTAATTCATTCTTAATAACTTGTCTATTTAGAAATTCTGTTTTTTTTTTCTTCTAAATTTCCCTTTTTGTTATTATGTAATGGTTTATGGAGTTAAAGCATTGCCAGTTTTTTTTTTTTAAGATTTTATTTATTTATTTATTTGAGAGAGAGGCAGTGAGAGAGCATGAGTGAGGAGAAGGTCAGAGGGAGGAGCAGACTCCCCGTGGAGCTGGGAGCCTGATGCGGGACTCGATCCCAGGATCATGACCTGAGCCGAAGGCAGTCGTCCAACCAACTGAGCCACCCAGGCATCCCAAAGCATCGCCAGTTTTATTTTATTGATTAAAATGGACATTACAGGGGCGCCTGGGTGGCTCAGTGGGTTAAGCCGCTGCCTTCGGCTCAGGTCATGATCTCAGGGTCCTGGGATCGAGTCCCGCATCGGGCTCTCTGCTCAGCAAGGAGCCTGCTTCCCTCTCTCTCTCTCTCTCTCTGCCTGCCTCTCTGTCTACTTGTGATCTCTCTCTGTCAAATAAATAAATAAAAATCTTAAAAAAAAAAATTAAAAAAAAAATAAAATGGACATTACACTCAGTGTTCATTAGTGTTAATCTGCTCTCTATTTTATTTTGGGTTTTTCTTTATTTTATTCCTCTACTAAGTTTCATTTAAGTCTCTTTCTTTTTTAATTCTTCTGGTGGAAATTCAGTTGTTTATTCCAACATTTTCTTAACTCTCTGTTGTATAAGATGAAAAAATTGGGAAATGGAAAGCCTAGTAGGGAAAAACTGGCAGAAATGAACAATACAAACAAGGAACAAAAACAGTAAAAAAATTAAAATGACGATATTTAGGGATTTCTATAATCGTGTAATATGTGAACAGAGATAGTTTCAGTGTTTCTTTTTCAGTTTAGATTCCTTTACTCTATTTTTGCTTGCATAATTCTGACTAGAGTATCCAGAAGTATATTCAAGGCAGTGGTGCATTACTTCATTACCTGCTGATCATAGAGGAGAAGCCTGCAGACTTTCCCTGTTGAATAGTTTTCAGCTTTTCATACATCTGTGGCATTCATCAGTTGGGGTTTTCCTTCTCTCTCTACCTTGAGTGTTTTTAACATGACATGTTGTCCAATACCCCCATGTTTGTATTCTGTCTGCGTTAATATGATCATGTCATTTTTTACCTTCGTTCTGTTAATGGTGGGGTCTTGAATTTATGGTTTTCTGTATGTTGGAGCACCCTTAATTCCAGGTCCATTTACTACTTGATCATCTTGTAAAAAGGGAAAATGTGCTGTTGATTCAGTTTCCTCTATTTTATTGTGGACTTTGAGTGAATATTCCTCACAGGCAGTGGTTTGTAAACTTTGTTGTTTGTAGTGTCTTCGTCCGGCTTGCATGAGCTGGTAATGCTGGTGCCACAGAGCGAGTGTTCTGCTAGTTTCCCTGATCGTCACTCCTTGGAAATGTTTGAGGAGATTTGCAGTCCTTTCTCCTTTAGTGTTTGTTGAATATCCAGTGAACTCATCTGGCACACAAATTTTTGTTTGTTGGGTTTTTTTCTTTTATTCCTCTTTCATTCGGCTTCATATTCGTGGATCAGGTGAGATTTTTTTCTACTTTCTGAGTGATGGAGTCTAAATTGGTTATACCTTTTTTGAAATGTATACTTGTCTTTTATTAACAATTTGTGGGCACTGATTATCCATTGTTGCCTCTTAAAATTACTTTTATTTCTATAGTCAGTTACACTGTATCTGCTTTCACTTCTCCACCTCTCACTTTAGTTGGTCTTTCCCCTATTATTCTTAATTTACTTCATGGGCTGTCAATGTTGTTGATCTTTTCTGACAAACAACTCTTCCTGTGGTTGTTATGTTCCTATTTTTACTGCACTCTAGTTGGTTCATTTCAGTTTTCTGTTTCAATATCCATCGTTCCGCTAATTTTGAGCTCATGTGATTCTTTTCCTGATTATTAGAGATATAAGAAAGTGATTTGTGCTACACCATGACCATACCACAGATTATCTATTAGACCATGTGCTCAGTACGTTGTGTCCATGTTGTGTGTCCATGGAGAAATGTCCTGATGACTCTTCCTCAGCCATCTTTCTGACTTTGTCTGATTGACTCGATGCTTTAATTTAAGAAGTCATCAGTATATTCTTCTGAATGTAGTAAGTACAGTGATTTTATTTTATTTGGTATTTTTCAGCTGTATCTTCACATGACACCCAGAGTTTCCTGCTAAAGCAGAGCATAGAAGATTCTTTCCAGACAGTATCAGTGCACAGATACAAACACAGTGCTGTTGAGATTTTACACTTACGTACAGACTGGGACAGTGATGGGGATAGTGACGGGCATCAAAGAAATCCTGGACGATACACCCAAACCAAAGCCATGGTCCTTAATGAGAATCTCCGTGCCCCAAATGGTGAAGGATATAAAACGCTGTGGAAAACCTCCCTTTTAAAGTCAACTGTTTCTGCAGAGCAGTATGTTTCTGTCAGCACAAGCTCCAATCAAATATTCGAACATAGCTATTTGTGGACAGAATGTTTGGAACATCTGGAAAGTAACCTAGTCCATGTTGAGAATAATGATTTGAGCCATTTGAAAGATAGGATTGGCCTCACTTTTCAATCAGATATTTCTGATCATCAGAGATTTAGAAATGAAGAACAAAGTGCTCCGCGGGATCCATACGAGAGGAGCTTCGCTGAGGAGTTGACCCTCCAGAATGACCAGAGGGTTTCCACTGAAAACCGAGTAGCTCAGTGCACTGAATCTGAGAAAACATTGAACCAGGGCTCCAGTGTTCAGAAATGTGTCAGGGCTAGGTTTGCAGAGAACCATTATGAATGTGATAAATGTGGGGAAGGCTTTAATCCGGGCTCTAACCTCAGTGTACATAATGGTCACCGTTTGGGAGACAGTCCTCATAAATATAATGAATGTGGGAAAGCTTGTAACCAGTCCTCCAGTGTTGGTGATCATCAAAGAATTCATGAGGGAAAAAACCTATTGAGATCTAATAAAGCAGGGACCATGTTTAGCCAGTCATCAAGCCTAAATATACATAACATAATTCCTAGGGGAAAGGAAGCTTACAGTTTGAAGGAATGTGGTAAATCCTTTGACTGTCACTCAACACTATCTCAACATCAGCGAATGCATACTGGGGAGAAAATACACAAATGTGAAGAAGGTGGTAAAACCTTTAAGGACTGTCCATCAATAAATGGACATAGACAAACCTATACTGGAGAGGAACGTTACCAATGTCAAGAATGTGGCAAGACCTTTAACCGCACTTCACAGCTTATTCAACATCACAAAATTCATACTGGAGAGAAACCTTACCAATGTGAAAAATGTGGCAAGAGCTTTATACAGAGCTCAGCCCTTATTCGACATCACAGAATTCATACTGGAGAGAAGCCTTACCAATGTCAAGAATGTGGCAAGGCCTTTACCTGCCCTTCACAACTTACTCAACATCGCAGAATTCATACTGGAGAGAAACCTTACCAATGTCAAGAATGTGGGAAGGCCTTTAACCGGCAATCAAGTCTTACTGACCATCACAGAATTCATAGTGGAGCGAAAACTTACCGATGTAACGAATGTGGCAAGGCCTTTAATGACAGCTCAACCCTTTTTGAACATCACAGAATTCATTCTGGAAATAAACCTTACCAATGTCAAGAGTGTGGCAAGGCCTTTATTTACAGCTCAAGGCTTACACAACATAACAGAATTCATACTGGACAGAAACCTTACCAATGTCAAGACTGTGGCAAGGCCTTTTACCAGAGCTCACATCTTAATGAACATCACAGGATTCATACTGGAGAGAGACCTTACCAATGTCAAGAATGTGGTAAGGGCTTTAACAACAGCTCAGCCCTTACTCAACATTACAGAACTCATACTGGAGAGAAACCTTACCAATGTCATGAATGTGGCAAGGCCTTTAACCACAACTCAAGCCTTACTCAACATCGCAGAATTCATACTGGAGAGAAACCTTACCAATGTCAAGAGTGTGGCAAGGCTTTTTCCCGGAGCTCAAGTCTTAGTGAACATCACAGAATTCATACTGGAGAGAAACCTTACCAATGTCAAGAATGTGGCAAGGCCTTTAACGACAGCTCAACCCTTATTCAGCATTACAGTATTCATACTGGAGAGAAACCTTTCCAGTGTCAAGAATGTGGCAAGAGGTTTAACGTGAGCTCAGTGCTTACTCGACATCACAGAATTCATACTGGAGAGAAACCTTATCAATGTAAAGAATGTGGGAAGGCCTTTAATCAGAGGTCAAGTCTTATTGAACATCACAGAATTCATACTGGAGAGAAACCTTATCAATGTCAGCAATGTGGCAAGGCCTTTAACCACAGCTCAACCCTTATTCAACATCGCAGAATTCATACTGGAGAGAAACCTTACCAGTGTCAAGACTGTGGCAAAGCCTTTAAGTGGTCTTCGCTCTTTAATCAACATCGCAGAATTCATACTGGAGAGAAAACTTAACCAAAGTCAAGAATGTGGCATAGCCTTTTTGCGGCCCTCAGACCTTCCTTGATAATCACAGAATTCATGCTGGAGAGAAACTTTGCAAATACTAAGAATGTGGCAAGGCTTTACAGACACTCAGTCCTCACTAAACATCAGAAAATTCATACTAGATAGAAAACTTACCAGTGTACAGAATGTGAGAAAGGGGCCACCTGGGTGGCTCAGTTGGTTAGGCGGCTGCCTTAGACCCTGTTCCTGATCCCAGGTTCGAGTGCTGCAAGAAGTCTGCTTCTCCCTTTCCCTCTGCCTGCCCCTCCTCCCTACTTGTGCTCTCTCTCCATCTCTCTGTCAAATAAATAAATACAATTTTTAAAAAAGAAAAAAGAATGAGAAAAATCAGTTAAGGAGTGCTTACCCATTCATGCACATCAGAGAATTCATTTTGGACAATAACCCTGCAGATATAACAAATGTGACAGCATTTGTTCAGCATGCATGCGTTTACTAAATAGAGAATTCATACTGGAATGACAGCCGATGAATAACGTGGCAAAACCTCTAGCTGCAAACCACTCTTACTGGACATCACAGAATTCATACTGGAGAGAAAATTATGGATGTATGTGAGAAAATGCCTAAGGACTGTTCCCTCCTCATTCCATATCAGAGATTTTATATAGGAGAGTTAGTGTACAGATACTAATTTGTGTCTGTGGGGCACCTGGGTGGCTCAGATGGTTGAGCATCTGCCTTTGGCTCAGGTCATGATCCTGGAGTTCTGGGATCAAGTCCTGCATTGGGCGTCCAGCTCCACAGGGAGTCTGCTTCTCCCTCTGACTTTCTCCCCTTGCATGCTCTTTCTTACTGTCTCTCTCGCCAATGAATAGATAAAAAGTTTTTTTTTTTTTAAGATTTTATTTATTTGACAGAGATCACAAGTAGGCAGAGAGGCAGGCAGAGAGAGAGGTGGGGAAGCAGGCTCCCTACTGAGCAGAGGCAGAGAGCCTGTCGTGGGGCTCAATCCCAGGGCCCTGGGATCATGACCTGAGCCAAAGGCAGGGGCTTTAACCCACTGAGCCACCTAGGCACCCCTAAATAAAATAGTTTTTAAAAAAATGTGTCTGACCTCTCACTGGAACTCTGAACTTACTAAAGTCATGCTTATCATATAGGAGTAAAAGTGTGAAATGTAAGGGACGTGGCCAAGCATTTAATGAATTCAGTCCTTCCTCAGTATCTCAAAATGCATACTAGATTCAAACCCTTGCAACACAGTGAATGTGGGAAGACCTTCATTTCAGTATACTTTGGAGCAAACACCAGAGAGAGCATTAAGGAAAATTAATTGAAAGTTAGGGTTGTTCAGAAAACTAATTATTTGAACATCAGATGCCAATATATTTGAACATCAAATGCCAATGGAAAACATGATTCACTCTACTCAGTCATTATTCTGTATGTACATAGTGATTATAAGGAAAAATCAAACTTAAACACTAAGAAAATGTATGTGGTATTCTGTTGAACAGATTTAGAGGGTGAACTTTCACATATTATAAGGGATTTCAGTATTTTTTCATTCTTACATTGACCGCATTTGAGATTTGTGACTGACTATATTAATCTGTTTTCCTCTGAAATCTCTCCCGAAAATTCCTCTTTCTCATGGGTGTGTAAGACCATGTGGTTGATTGTTGGTACATCAGAAATATTAGATGTCCTGCTCCATTAAGTGGGACTCATGAGTACCTAATTTTTTACGGAAGATGACCGTATGATATACAACATATGAAGTACATCTCAGTCGAGATGGTGCTTACGGTTATAACACTGATGTAAGATTCCATGGGATAGCTGTTCAGAGCACACACTTTTGCATGTATTGAAACCAAAGAACTTCCTCAATATTAGAAATACAAGGTTTTCCTGATTATTCTTTAAGGAAAAAGAGGTTGCAGTCCACTAAATAACCAATGTATCTTGCTAAGTGCAATTTTTACAGAGTATAATATATTTTCAGTAATAAAACCCGTTTTTAACATGGATATGAGTGTGTCATGAATTATGTGTTATCCTCCGTCTAGTGTTCATCTGTCTCATTGAGGGTTGTAGGGTACTGATCAAGTCAACCACCTGTTTGATACTGGAGTAAAACAATACACCTAGGAATCCATTTTTCCAGTGGCCTGGAGGTTTAAGGGATATGTGATTATGTTTTCCCCTAGTCTATGCTGTGATTTTCTCCTCTTTGTGAATAGGATGATACTACTGTGGGTGTATTACTGAGGTATATAACATAGAGATGTTGCCGTTTTAGCTCACGTACTCCAAGATGCTGCTACTGGGCATTGATTTTGTGTAGCCAGTAGTTTTGCAGAGGCCTTGCACTGCCAGGAACCCTTCTCAATAGTGCATTTCCCAGTCAGAACTCTGTAGGATCACGTTAGTAGGACGTGTGATATGACATACGCACTCTGACCTTGTGAGCCACCATCTCTCCTTCCTTCCAATTCTTTCCCTCCCATGTCCCATAGAGAAGACTTCCCCCTCCCCCAGGCCTTCCCTAAATCTGTTTTAGTCGGAATGGCATATTTTTGACTTAGACTTGGGACTCCATAGCACTGCACCATGGCCCCAAATGGAAGCATGTGCCCTGCACCCTACACTGAGTGTTGTTTTGATGTGTCTATGAAGTACACATGCACATCTGACCATGCTATGTGTGTCATAGATACCCCATAAGAGAAATCTATCCCAATAGGAGTCATGTGGTAGCCCAGGAGAGATGAAAAATATTTAAGATGAAAAATTAGCATGTAGAGGAGGACAACTGTCCTGAGTTTCCCAAGTGACTCCCTAGTTGTGGAGAAGGAACTTCTGTTTGTTTTATGACCTACTTTTCTCCAGATCTCCAGTTATATTCACCCTCATTTTTCTTCCTCTCTACATAGGAACCACAACCGTTCTCTTTTGCCTGTGGAGAGAGTGTCTTCAGAAAATGCTTCATTGAGATTAGACAGATGGAAAGCTGATGGGTATTAAGACATTTAGCACGGGGATGTGGGATGTGAATCTGAGTAACATTTGAGGAAGGCACCATCCTTAGAGAAAAAGACAAGACGTATTAAAAGGAAATGTGAGGAACGCTTTCCTGTGTGGGGAGGGACCCGGAGGTGGCTCCTTTTAGTCACTGCAAAGGCACATGAATACATGTAATGGGGACAAGAAATGGCAAATGTGGGTTACTCAGGAGTAGGGAAGTCCTGATTTATTTTGACGATTTGATGGATCTCCTGTGGTCCACCTGGGACTAATGCTGTTGGATGTCAGTGATTACTGGACGTCCCTGGCCTAGATCCGTGACAAGGGATGGAGGAGGGGTTGGATGATGCAATCATGTGGGCAGCTTTAAGGTGTCACATGGTAGAATAGATGTTTGAGATGAAGTCTTCTGGGCAGTGGAATAGGTTGGATCAGCAAGGCATGTGCTATGGTTGCTCCCTCATTTCCCATGTAGATAACCTGAGTCAAGGTCAGATCCAGTGTGGTTGGGTGATCCTTCAGGGAAGCTGCTGTGCGGGGGACCTACCTCCCTTGCCTCAGCGCCATAATGCGTGTAGTTCTAAGGGCAAGTGGGTGGCTCAGTCATTAAGTGTGTGTCTTAGGCTCAGGTCATCAGCACTGCATTGGGCTCTCTGCTCAGCCGGGAGCCTGCTTCTCCCTATCCCCCTCCCCCTGCTTTTGTTCCCCCTCTCACTGTGTCTGTCTCTGTCAAGTAAATACTTTTTTAAAATATTTTTTTTTAAGATTTTATTTATTTACTTGACAGACAGAGATCACAAGTAGGTGGAGAGGCAGGCAGAGAGAGAGAGGAGGAAGTAGGCTCCCTGCTGAGCAGAGAGCCCGATGCGGGGCTTGATCCCAGGATCCTGAGATCAAGACCTGAGCTGAAGGCAGAGGCTTTAAAAAATATTTTAGACAGTATAAAGAAACTGGTAGAAACATTTATACTCTATTACTGTCTGTAAGAGCCCACCCCCTTCAGTGCTAAGCATACAACCACCTCCTTCAAACATGAAAAGTATAGCTCTTAGGGGGTCTGTGGGATCAGTCAGTTAAGGGTCTCACTTTGGATCAGGTCGTGATGTCAGGTTCCCAGCACAGCCCTACAGTGGGCTCCTTACCCAGTGGTGACTTGGTTTCTCTCTCTTCCTCTGCCCATCACTATGCCCCACCACGAGTGCCTCTCTCTCTCAAATAAAATAATCAAATATTTAAAAAAAGAAAAAAAAGTGTAGCTCTTTCTGAGCAGAAGTCCCAACCATGTGCTACATCAATAAACTTACTAAGTTGCACTATAAATCATCACAGAAGTTCTTCCTGATCACTGTGCTGAAGGATTCCACAATTTTGTTATCCAGAAACCCAAGCTGGCTGCCATTCCTTTGAAAAGCCGATGCATAGGGCAAGAGTTTTGATGGGAGTAGAAGATCAGCATTATTCAGGAGATAAGCCATTTGGAAAGAAGAAAGACTCATGTTCAAAAATCAACTCCAGGGGTGCCTGGGTGGCTCAGTGGGTTAGGCCTCTGCCTTCGGCTCAGGTCATGGTCTCAGGGCCCTGGGATTGAGCCCCGCGTCGGGCTCTCTGCTCAGCAGGGAGCCTGCTTCCCTTCTTCTCTCTCTCTGCCTGCCTCTCTGCCTGCTTGTGATCTCTGTCTGTCAAATAACTAAATAAAATCTTTAAAAAAAAAAAATCAACTCCAAGGATTTTGCCAGGCCTTCAGAGTTTAAAGGAGCTTGAGGACAGTGAATCAATAGGAGGGAAACAGGGCAGTCTGACACAGTTCATGATCGCCTGTGGACTTACTGTGCCTCCTACGGACATTACAGAGGGGCTTGGAGGTTGCGTATGGATCCCCAGGGGTGGCTGTGCCAGAAGGTGGGATTTCCAGTCCTTCTTGGAAGCAATGTGTGATGTGTAGATGTACAAAGAAGGGTTTAGTCCATCATTCA